ACAGCAGTAAATAAAATTTTGAGGGTACAGACTAAGTCTCATCATTCTGTCCAAACATCAACAGCTACCTTGGCTGCAGAGGTAAGAGTGAAATTTGTCAGCAAGGGAAATAGTCCACAGCAACTCACAGGGGGAGAGGACAAAGAGGACAAGCACACCAAAGGCAACATGAGACTGAGGAGGATCTAAGGAGCATATGTTGTATGGACAAGCTGTAAGGAGTAAAATCAGCTAGAACAACATCAGAATCCAGGAGAGGAATACATGCAACAGCACTGACACATGCAGGAAATAAAGGGTGAAGTACCAGTTCTGTTAATCAATTTAGCACCTAAAAAATGTGAAAAGCTAGAAGTAATGGTTACCTTACTTTGATCAATTCCAGTGGCAGTTTGTGAGCAGCATGGATACAATAGTAGCTCTAATTTATGTTGAGAATTACACTGTTTATATATAAATATGAGGGTGAGAGCAGAGTTAACCTCAGATTCTGACCCCTCCTCTCCCTGAGAATATATGGAAAATTAGAACTAATTATTGTAAAACATTATTTCCTTAGTTTGAGCCCTTCTTTTTAGAGCTACACAAAAGTGTTTACCTTTCCTCAATTTGCTTTTGAAAGGCCTTCCTAAATTATTTGAAGTTGTAGTCCATGTAAACAATAAAACAGAAGGCACAAGAAATGTATAAAATGACAGACATAATATTTGCAACCAGATAGATGTCACTTAACTTAAACAGAAGGGGAGAACTACATGGACAGGGAGTGGAAGCAGGGGAAAAACCAAAAGCCTGTTAAGAGATAAACTAAAAACATATTTGTATGGAAAAGAATTTCAAACCAGCAGAGTCAAAACCACTGTAGAAATAGAAAAGCCCACTTTACCTCTACCTAGGGAACATCTTGGGATATCTACTAATATTTCTTTAAAAGCAACATCTGACTGTCATTACTCAACCTCACAGAGAAATGAAATTGCGTGGAATTCCAAGCAAGCGGGTAAAACATTCACTGCTGGTCTACAATCAATGCCCCACATAGCATTCATCTCAACCTACGACCTCTCAAATTCTCTGTTAGAACCATGGAATTGTTTAGATTGGAAAAGAACCTTTAAGATCAGCAAATGTAACCACCAACCTGTTACCAAGTCCACCACTAAGCCCATCCTACTGTCTCTAAGCACAGTATATGTGTCTTTTAAACACACCTTCAATGGTGACTCAACTTCTTACCTAGGCATCTTGTTCCAATGCTTGATAACCCCTTTGGTGACGAAATTTTTCCTAATATCCAATCAAAATCTCCTCTACAGCAACTTAAGCCATTTCTTCTCACCCTATGACTTGAGAGGAAGCCATGGGGAAGAGACCAACCTGTCCACTACAGCCTCCTTTCAGGAAGCTGTAGAGAGCAATAAAGTCTTCCCCAAGCCTCCTTTTCTCCAGACTAAAGACCCCCAGTTCCCTCAGCAGCTCCTCATAAGGCTTTTGCTCCCAACCCTTCACCAGCTGGACACACTCTAGCACCTCAATGTCTTTCTTGCACTGAGGTGTCCGGAACTGGACACAGCACTCATGGATTTCCATCCACCATCTCCACTGAGCCAGCAGAATGAAAGCCCTCACTAGCACACCAATAGGGCAATACTGGCATGCTGACCCCAGGCTTATTTTTAGTGAAACTGGTTTTATCCCTTTCCAACTTCACATCTAGTTTAAAGCCCCTTCAGTAAGCTCTGCTAACTCTTGAGACAAGTGCTCACCATCTGCTGCCAGCAGGCCAGGGGCCGTGTCAGCCAACCCACAGTCTGCAAACAGAGCAAGACAGGGGTTTATAGTCACTTACCTTATAATATAGCCAACGAGGTGATCAGTGTGGGGAAGTACAAACAGTGATTTTCCAGAAAGGTCACAAGCATTACACAAAGCTGCAGCCCTCTCTGATGCAATAACATCTTCCCCTAGTAAAGTCAAGGAAAGCACAAGTAAGAGGGATGTGGTGCTGCAATGTCAAACTACTTCTAAAAGCTTAAAGGTCAGGTTATGAACCTTAGGTAGACCAAAAGGTCTAAACAGTATTGAAAAATCTAATAAAGATAAAACCAAGAGCACATTCTTTCTTACTTCTTTCAGAGTACTATGTGCTTCATCCAGCAGAACACATGCAGAAACTTTCTAGCAGTTTTTAGCAAAAAATTACAAGTATGATGTAAGTTTTTCATCTGTCACAGAACTAAATATCCTGTGTCTTGAGAAATACAATAGCATCCAGGAAAGACAAACACATACATACAGCAGGTAGAGCAAAAAACGTTTTGCTAGACACTAGAAAGTACACAGGAGCTCTACAGCAATGTAAAGTGTATCACATTTGACAGTTCCATGTGGCTCCAAAATTTTATTGATTAAAACCAAATTAAGACAGAAGACCTCTGTAGGTACCAAATACTTTTCTTCTAAGTTGTCAATGCTTTTACTGGTTTTCCTGATCTCAAGCAATGTTTCAAATGCAACTTGCCTACAAGAAAGCAGGTCAGCTGTATTACCATATAAGCCATCTCTGATACTGTGTATCAAAAAATGCACTTGGACTTAAGAGGAAGAAGTTAGAAATAAAAGTAACAAATGTTTAGGGTCAACAGTCCTGAATGCTCTTTTTATCCTTACACCTTCCTGCAGTCACAGTGCGTTTAATGAATGCATATGAAGAACCACAGATGTGACAAACCAAAGTCAGCTCAGTCCACTGAGCCTTCTGAAAAATGAGAACTCCACAACTGTGCACAGAGTTTTCAAGTACCTGGAGGCAATGGTGTTTTTTTCTGAATCAAAACCACAGCAACTTTGGTATTTCTTCCCTGCAAACTTTGCCTAAAATAAAGACAACACAGCACGGCGTCAAGGTTTCACTTCTTATTTCTGAATAACCAGGAAAAAAAATATCAGTCTAGGTGGAAGCACTGGAAGAATGCTACAAAGGTCAAAAACCCAAACAACACAATATGCTCCATCATTCAGAAAATGCTGTCTTCCTTCTTTTGGGACCAAACAATTGTGCTGAGTTTAGCAAGTAAAAATTTCAGGGGCTATTTTTACTTAAGTAAAATAAGTAATGGTTTTACAAATAACCCATTAAAAAAGAGTTCTTTACTGTGCATTGTATATTATAAAGCAAAGTTCAAGTTCCCCTAAATTTATATTTAAGAAAAAAACCCTGTATGTTCTAGAATGCAAACAGATTCTGCAATTCACACCTGCATTAGTTTGCAGTACATTATGAAGCAAGTGAAAAAAAATCTACCTGACAATTTCAACTCGAGTAGCACACTCCAACTGTTTTTCCTTCCACTGTGGCTCATCCCAGTCCAGTTCATAGAATACCACCACAAGTGCTGGAACCAAATTCAGGTGTTTGTTCATCCAACCAGTCTTCAGGATTCCTTTTGGAATATACCACTCATAGGATGTCCTCTGAAAATATTGAGGATATTGAAGCAAGCTACAAAATCCACTCACAAACATTTACAGCAGGAGAAAGAGCATATCCTCTACATTCTTGTCACTTGACATGTTTGTCATCTTGCCTTTAACATTGTTCCCCTCAAGCCTTTGCTTCCTATTAAGCCATATCCCACAACAGCTCAGGGATGCAGCTTAATATCAGGGCCCGATGCCCTATTAGCAGCAAGAACACCAGAATTGCAGGGAGGCTGTAGAAGAGGGTCACGTTCAGGAGCAAGTCTCATACACTGCTGCGAAATACTAGGCTCAGTTGAAAACCATGGTTTCAAAACAGTGCAAGGACACACCAGTTTAGAGTCTTTGTCAGCATAATGGAATTATGTAGTTTTATAACAGTTAAACTCATTGACTTTGCAAAGCAGAAAGAATAGCAGAGATATTCCTTCTGCTGTGTTTCACTCAGTTAAAGTGAAATGTTTAGTAAAAAAAACTTTATAGGTTAGGTTAGGGGTTTTTTTTCAGAATACATTAAGTATCTCATTTCTCCAAAGTTAAATTTTGGGTTTCATTAAAGCTCAAATTTTACAAGGCACCTTAATGCTATGTAGAAGAGTAGCAAGTACTCAAAACAGTAAACCATACGGGCTTTCTATGCTGGTGGCTCATGAGCTAAGGCACCCCTAGCCTCCCTACGCACGCACAGCGCTCCATCACAACGCCCTCACAGGCTCCCCCGACCCGAAGCTCCCACACTTCCCCTCCAGCACGGGGGGAAGAGGCGGCCGAGGTCCGGCAGAGCGCGGTGCCAGCCGGCCGCGGCCCGGGCAGCCGGGAGCATGGCCCTTCCCGCAGGGAAAGGAAGTCCCGCATCCCCGCTCCCGGGGCCGCTCCGCTGCCGGGGCGGCGGGCTGGGACCCCGCCGGGACGGGGCGCAGCCGGGGCCGGCGCCGCTCGCTACCTTCGTCCTGCACTTGGGGTACTCGTGGTCGCCGGGCAGCACTTTGAAGGAGATGGGGACGCGGTCGGCTCTGCGGTTGGCGCAGAAGGCGTCCCACACGGCGCGGTGCACGGCGTTGTACACCACGTCCAGGCCGGTGAGCGTGACGAACGCCATGGGCCGGCAGCACAGCTCCACCGGGAAATCCCAGTGAGACGGAGGGGTCATCCTGCAGCCGGGACGGCGGCCTGCGAGGCGGCGGGACGGCGGCGGGTAGGGCGGCCCAGGCCGGCCGCAAGAGCGCCCCGCTGTCCCGGGCCCGTGCTCCCCGTAGCACCGCTCACTGCGGCGGGATGGAGCCGGGAAGCGCCAGCTGGGAGCGGCCGCGGGTCACGGGAGGCGGCGCGGGCGGGCCGCCGCCTCAGGAAGCGAGCGCCGGGCAGCGTCAGAAGGGCAGCGCGAGCGGCCAATCGGCGTCTCCGCTGCACCCCTCGGACCAATCAGCAGCGCCCGCGCGGGGACGTCACTGCGAAGGAGCCAGTGAGCGGAAGGAGGAAGCGCGGGGGGACGCGCAGAGGGCCAATGGCAGGGCGGGGGGCGGTGCCTCGGGTGCCCCGCGCTGCCCTCGGCAGAGCCGCGTCCGTGCGAGTCCGGCGGGGCCGCGCCAGGCAGGCCCGCCCAGCCCCGGCGGCAGCGGGGCCGGGCCGGGCCGCAGGGTAGCGGGGCCGAGAGCTCCGGCCATGGCGGCCAACGAGGACCAGGAGGTGAGTTCCGGGCCCCGCTGCCTGAGGGAGAGCGGAACCGGGGCTGGGAGGGCGGGATAGAGCCGTGCGGGGAGAGGGGCGGGAGGGAAGCGGCGGCCGCTGGCGCGGGCGGGCGGCGGGAGAGCGCAGCTGGGCGGCGGCGGGGCCGGGCGCGGCGCGGCGCAGGGAGCGCGGTCGGTAACCCCTGCTCTGGCCCTGGCTGCAGATGGAGCTGGAAGCGCTGCGCTCCATCTACGAGGGAGACGTGTGCTTCAGGGAGCTCAGCCCGGTGTCCTTCCAGTACAGGGTAAGTTACTTGCAGTTACTTTGCTGCCTTGTAGTGCCATACCAGGGGGTTCTAAGCCACAGAGGTATCCGATGTGCAGTAAAGGATAGATCCACAGGGCGTTTTTTCAGGCTGTTTGGTATGACAGTATGACAGTGCTTCATAGCACAGAGTGTCATGTATATGAACCTGCCCCCATCATGGCTTTATTACAGAATCGCAGAGCGGATGAGGTTGGAAGGGACCACAGTGCATCATCTGGTCCAAGCTCCCTGCTCAAGCAGGGTCATCCTAGAGCACGTGGCACAGGACTGTGTCCAGTCGGTTCCTGAAAATCTACAGTGAGGGAGACCCCAGAACCTTTTTGGACTATCTTTTCCAGTGCTCAGTCACTGCACAGTAAAGAAATCCTTGCTTATCCTCAGGTGGAGCTTCCTGTCTGTCAGTTTCTGCCGGTTACCTCTTGCCCTATTGCTTGGCACCACAAGGCAGTTATCCCTGAGCTAGGCATCCCACCTATGTGTGTGCTCTGGGCAGCCAGAACTGTCCAGTCCTCTGAAGGAGCCAGCCTGCTGTGTAATATTTACCCTAACTGGTCAGAAATGGAGAGATTTATAGAGCTGTTTCTATGTAAAATTTGGAGCCTTTGTTAACTGCTTAGTTAGAAGATTCCTGTCTCTTGTCCAAAGACTGTTGATCATGTCTTGTTTGCCTGCTAAAGAGAAAATCCACAAAGTGCTTTGGGCATATGCACTGACACAGTCTGGTCAGAAGAGACATACAGGGGGTGCTGAGCACAACTAGATTCTGGCATGAAATTCTCACCAGCTTTCTCAAATTTAATAACCTGGATGTTCTTCTGGGCACAGACTGAGGCAGATCTTTTGATGGCCAGGAAAGTTTACTTAGGGACCCATGGCACAGAAGGGAGACTTCTGAAAATGCCATATGCCTGTTTCAGGGAGAAACCATCTAAAATCACCTTTCTGTGACTTCTCAAATAACTTAAGAATAATGTCATTAATTGTAATGAGAAACAGCTCAATTAATTATAGCAGTTGGAATCCCAGCCATGTAAAATCCCAGCCTTTCTTCACTGATTGGATCATTCTTAATAAAATTAATTTATTTGAAAGGGGAAATATGACATGCCTACAAGCCTAAAGTGTGTCATTTTACTTTTCACTAGCTTTGGTTGTTGCTGATTTTTATTAGACAAAAAATAATTGTCAAAAGTTAGGATAACTCAACTACAGTAAAACTTAGTGTCATACAAAAGCAATAATACATCTTTCCCGTGAAGAAAAAATTGTGTTTTGAGAAGTCATAATGCAAGTAATTGAGAAGATAGAATTTGTATGGCTTTGTAGGATTTGCTCTGCACACAGACAGTGCTTTCCTGAGAGAACCCTGTGAACCATGCAGCCACTTCTGCTCTTGGCAGCAGTGGGACATGAACTGTAAATGCTGCCTTGAAAAAATGTTGCAGATTCTTGATTTAAAGTCTTATTTATTTCACCACTAAATAAGTGGTTTTGAATGTCAGTTAGTCCAGTCTGCTGAAGCAGATATTGTAAATAGGAAAGCAGCAATTTTTTCTTAATTTTTTTAATTTTGAAGAACCATAGCCCTACTTTGATTAGGACTTCCCTTGCGGACACACTTTATTCTACATAGTTAGAGAAAGGCTGATTTTTATAATGAGGCAAATAAGGGAAAATTTTGGGTGGTTTTAGAAACCTTACTGTGCTAGTCTTCCAAATCCTTGTGTAAAACAGTTATTTCTGATCGTATGTCAGTAATAGGCTGTAATTTTTTGGGTTTTTTTTTTAAATCCAGGCTCATTCTACTGACTTCTTAAATCTTTTACTACTCATTCTTTCATACAGGGAAACAAAATATCTGTAGCTATGAGACATAAATATTGATGTTCTTACCTGTTATGTTTGCTATCTTAGCTTTCTAGTTTATTATCATCCTTATTTGAACTCCGTCTTGTGGCTTCTTTTCATATTGCTCTGTGCTTAGGTGTGTGAGGGGGAGAAAAGGCTTCATATTTTCTGTTCTCATATGTGACACTATAATATTTGGCTTGAAGATATTACAAAGTAGCTTTTAAACAAAGGAATTAAAAAACCCTAACCATAAAAAGTGATTTGAGAGTTTCTGCTGCTCCTTCTAGAATGAAAACTGCAGGGTAAATGTTAATAATGATGTCCTAAATTTAATGTTCTTTCTAGATAACAGCTTTATTTTCTAACTGATAACTTTCAAAATAGTTGTCTCAGGGAATTTTGATGGTCTGAAAGTAGTAGTAGACTTCTTATTGGCTTTGTAATCCTCAGAAAGTGACTGGAAACTGTTGATTTATAAAGTTGGGGGTTTTTTCCCTCTTCAGATAGGTGAAAGTGGAGATCCCAAAGCCTTTCTAATAGAAGTTTCTTGGCCAGAAACATATCCACAAACAGCACCAGTCATATCGATGGATGCTTTCTTCAACAACACCATGTAAGTATTTGTGACAGCTCCACTCCCTGGCCTTGTGGTGGGGACTCTTTGTTTGAAAAGCTTTTTATTATCTGTCTAGATTACACTTGAGTTTAATGATTTCTTTTAGATCTTCAGCTATTAAGCAAAGTATATTGGATAAGTTAATGGTAGAAGTTGAAGCAAATCTTGGAACTGCAATGACATACACACTTTTTGAATATGCCAAAGACAATAAGGAGGTGTTCATGGAAAATCAACCTGTTAACACTGTGGTATGTAGATAAACTCTGATTTTAATTTTGTGCCTTTAAAACTGAAAAAAAATATTGATTATTATAGAGTTCTCTCTAAGCTGTAAATCAGTTCGTTGGTTATACATGTTTGTGGCTGAAAGTGATAAAGTATGGTGCCACAACGCTCTGTGGTCATAATTGTTCTGTTTGATAGTTATTTTGCTGTTACACCAAAATGTTTGCAGCCTGCTGTTATGTCCCACAGGATAACATTAAAATAGAGACTTTGAGCAGAAGCAAAACCAAAGGAAGCTGAAACAGAGATTTGTCTGCTGAATATTGGAGGGGTGGCAATTTACTGCAACCTTCCTGGGATTGTTAAAGTGCACCTCAAGGGTCTTCAAGTAGTCAGGCTGGGTCCATTTGTGGTTTTTGGGTTGTGTAAGCACAGTTTGCCATGATGGTGCAGCAGATCTGCTGTGAGGAGGAAGCAATGATTGTTATGTTTGAGAAGTCTGAATCCATTCAGACTAAATCACACTCCATGCTTAAATTTTAAAAGTGAAAACCGTACCCTTTGCAGCTGGAATAATTCCAGCCCCTAACACATGTTTTTAAAAGTACAGCCCTGATTATGTGTGGTTAAAAGCTGCAGGCTGCTGACAGCATTCCTTCTTTCTGGCAGTCAGGGTATTTCAGTATGTCGGGTTCAGTGATCACATCACACAGGGATATCCATGGACCTAATATGCAAAATGTTTACAACCACTTTTATCCTTCTCAGACTTCAGTAAGCAATAGTATTTCAATTGGAACTCCTGAAGTGCCACCAAGTAAGAAAAAAGAGAAAAAGGAGCAGTTATCCAAAACCCAGAAACGAAAACTAGCCGATAAAACAGGTTTGTTCGCTATACTCATCTTCGCTTTGATCAGTATGAAAATCCAAACTTTATAGCAAGGACACCTGGCTACAGAAAGAGTAACTAGTAATTTGTTTATAAGATGAACTACTTTAAGTCTGTGGTCTCCATTTTATTTGTTTTAGATGAATTATTCTTGCCTGAGATGTTAGTTCTGGTCACAGCAACTTTCTTTAGAGTCGTGATTTTAATGACATCTTTTTGTGTTGTTTTGTTTCAGTTGTTGACAAAAATTAAATTTTCAAAAAACACTTGTGGAAGGAAAGGATTTGGGACCTCTGAAAAATCACTTCCAGCAAAAAATGCAGTTTGTTGATGGGCCCTCATAAATAATTCACCCCTAAGCCTATCCCCAGGTGCCACATCCAGACCCTTCTGGAGCACTTCCAGAGACAGTGACTGCACCACTCCCCTAGGCCACTTATTCCAATACCTGACTACTCTTTTAGTGAAAAATGTTTTTTTGAAATCTAATCTGAACCTCTCCTGGCACAGCTTCGCTTTGAGGTTGGTTGAGGAACACACTGTGTTTAAGACATTAAAATCTGTTTCTGTCCTCCTGGCTTCAGAGTGCAGAAATTGAGGGGTTTGGATATTTAGAATTTTGTGGGTCGATTTTGAAGAAAGATAAATATTCCCCTTAGCTTTTGTGCTGAAATTAAAACCTTCTTCTGCAGATAACAAAGGAGAGCTTCCACGAGGATGGAACTGGGTTGATGTAATTAAGGTAAAGTGAGTGTATTATATACAGTATTGTGAACATGCTGTGTATGTAAATTAAAAATTATTTGTACTTATATCTGAAGAAAACTGATCTGATATATTTTTTTCTTGCTTTTCTTCCTAACTATGTTTGGATTTGACTATGATGTCTGATTAACTTCTATATGTGTCCAGCATGTAAGTATTTTCAAGTTCTCTTTTTTTACTGTTAAAAAGATTTGTAGGAGAGTAAGAGCTGCTTCTTATTTTGAATTCTAATTTACAAATTTCTAAAAAGCTTTAAAATGCTAGTTCTTCTGAATATTAGTCTGGAGGAGTTCACTCTTTGAACTTCATTGGTTTCTTTCTTTATTTACTGAGCAATTAGACCTTAATTTTATGATGAGAGGGCTTTGCTAACAAAATGCGCTGCAAATATTCTGTCTTCATATGACAAGAAGATTTAAAATAAAATTAGTAGTGCTGCCAGGTTCTGGAGAGCAGTGCATAAGTAAGAAATAAAAGGGAGCTGTCCCAAGTGGGAGCACCTTGCTGTCTCCTGCAAGCCTCATTCTCTGCTGCAGCTCCTCCAGTGAATAATTCTTTTCTACTTGCTCCCTTAGTATTGATTTCTTCCACCCTCTTGTCTTTGCTGATTCAGTGAAAATCACTGTTTTACAACTTTGAAAGCAAACTATTTTATTTTATGCAATTGAGGTAATTTTTGCTGTAAGACCTAACACCAGTTCCAGCTGTTAAATAAGAGCAAGTAAATGATGAAGGTTGTTTTGGGCAGAGTCCTTCTGAGTTAAAAGTGGCTATTTATAGTGGATGTCTTGGTTTTTGGATAAATTTCATGATAGGCGTGCTACTTTTTATAATTATAAGCCTAGCTTTAAAAGGTCAGATATACTAAGTTAATGTCTGTTTTTATGTTGTCTAAATTTCTATATGGGAATTCTCTCAGAGATGTGTGAAGATAAAGTTCATTACTTCATCTTTTTTTTTTTCTTTTTGGAGAGCTGGTGATATAACCTTCAAATTAAATAGAAACAGTGCCCTTAGGTTTTTCTGGGGTTTGTCGTTTGTTTGGTTTTTTTTAAATTCAACTTTCACGATCAGGAAATAAGCTCATTTAGTGTTTAAGCTTAAGAATTAATTTTTGATGCTTTTCAGTCTTTTGATACAGTAGCACAATCAGTCTGTATTGTTAATTAAGTATATGCATGTTCAGTGTGAGATGGAAATAATGTTCTTGTTTCCTAATAAATGGAATGACAGTCTAAACTTTGAATACTTTCTTTTTGTGTCTCTTTTATAGTTAAGCAAAACTGGTTCTAAAGATGATGAGTAAAGGACTTTGGTACAAGGAAACTCCACCTTTTAATACAGTGCAATTCTGGGTCACCATCTCTCTATTAATAACTTTCATATTTGTTGAAGTAAACATTTTATAAAGCTCGATTTCCTAACTTGTAAATCTAGTCACACAAGCTTATCTAGAGACCATGTGGTCATCTTCAGAAAATCAACAAACTTGCCTTAAATGAAGGTTAGAATGTGACAAAGGGTATAGAGAGCCAGTGTGGTGAATAGTGCTGAAGTGTTTATTAATTTATATTTAGTCTGTAGTAAAATCCTGTTATAGTGAGCCCAATGATACTGTAAACATTTCCTGATGTTCTTATTCCAGTTGAAGAAAAAAACACTATAACAGTGATTGGTGGCTTGATGGCTTAATTCGTCAAAATAAATTGTTCCATGGAAATAAGACCTTTGTCATTTGTTTATCTAGTATTAACCAGAAGGAGAAAATACATACAAATTGTTGCATTGCAGAACAGGCTAGAGCTTGTGGTCTTATTTTCACTAGTTACTGGTTGAAGCAGTAAATACTAGTGAAAGCAAGGCCAAATATTCTAGTCTGCTCAAAAATGAATGGTTGTAGCAGGAGTGCAGCTTCTTTATTCTCCACAATATCCCATCTGTTGGTCTTTCTCCAGTGTGCATGTTTACAGACAGTGGGATGTCTGAGGAGAGGCAAAAGTGCTTTCTTGCACGTCTCAATGGGCGTTGGGATTTTGTAGCTGCTTCATTGGAGAAATAGGCATTCTTTGGAGGGATTTGCTGACTAAGTGGTGGGACAGTGGAAATCAGTAATCCATCAGTTTTGGGAGAACTTCTTTGCGAGAGCTCTTCTCTTTTTTTTTTCCTAATCTGCTCTCTTGTATAAGAAGGAGAAATCATCTTTACTGTATGAACTGTTATTGAATACAAGATGCCTTAATGTCTTTTATTATTGTTGTTTGTTTTGAGATGAACTTTAATAAATGCCTATTTATCTGCTGTGGTATTTGTTTATTGTATTAAATTCCTTATTGCCTACTGCACTTTTCACTTTGCAAATTTGAAATTGAAAGGATTCAGTTCCAAAGAAAGCATTCTTAAAAATTGCTGGAAGAATTCTGTCTTCCCTGTTGTGATATATATTCACATGATCTTCAGGGTGGCTGTGTTTGTTATTGATAGGAGGGTCAGTCACTTTACCAGGAGCACAGGACAGTGTCCGTTGCCTTCAGTACACACAGAGCAAGTCCAGCGTCCCTTTGGAAGAGTCTGCTCCACTATGTACAGCATCCATCACTTCGAAAGTCTGCTTTCTGTTTGAGCTCTACTCTCATGCAGTCAAGTTGTAAAGTGCGGAGGGAGGACCTTTTCTGAACAGTGCAGCCTTGCCTTTGGCACAAACTGGAGGTTCATGGCCGCAGTCTGAGCAGGAGTGCCCGCCATGGAGTGCCAGTGCCAGAAGTTGCTCTGGCAGTACACGGTGAACCTGTAGCAGGAAAGGGCATTTAGTTTTAGTCTCTGCCAGCACCAGGACAGGCTGGACTCTATTCATGAGTTCTCCAAGGGGAATTGACATGTTTTTGCTGGTATCCTTGCTGTATAAATCAAGTTGCTATGACAATTTATCTGAATAGATTAGTTATGAGAGGGTGGGGGAAGGACAAATAAGAACCACATCTCTTGCCTTCTATAGTTATAGTTACTGTGTGTAACATGGTAACCTTGTGAAATGCATGATTTTTCAGCTCCAAGTCTGCCTGTAAATCACATGCTCTCATGAAGATACCTGAGAGTCATTCTGGTTCTGTTAGTAAATGTATGTACTTTGAAGTCTTAATTTCACAGGAAATGTTTTGCATTAGAAATTTTTATACCCGTTTTTTGCTTCTGTGTAAGTTGTGAAAGGTAGTTTGTGTCGTTCAAGCCATTTTCTGATACAATGTGATGGCTGGAACAGGATCATTTAAAGAATCTGGGTACTTGACATTATGCAGAGGCCTGAGCAGTGATAAATGAGGGTAAGGAAAAATCTAATGATCATGAAGCAAGGCACAATTGTAAATAAGATCATGACTTCTGAAGGAATTCTAAGCACTGTTGAAAAATCTACTGCCACCTTCTTTCTTTTTTTTTTTTACAGAGACCTACTGGCAGTGGAAAATCAGTGATTACTCAGTAGGATGAGAGTCTCTTGATTGTATGGCTACACCACGTATTTAAATTCCTGAGTTTTGCAGTAGAGCTTTGTTTGGCCTGAGAAGACAAGTGTCAATACCAGTTACAGTGAATTAAAGGTAGCAGATGCCCAGAATGCTGTGGGTACCATTGCTCTCTAATGCATCAAATTGCAGGGAGTGATGCAGACTGCCTTTAAATATGTTGAATAGAGAGATGACAGCTGTGATTAGTCAGCAGTGTGTGCCTAGCATATCCTGCTCACCCCCTTGGTCAGCCTGACACAGATACTCTGAAATCAAGGCTGGTAATTTCTGCAGTCTTGCTCTGACTGGTTGTATGTGAGTGCATAGATAAAGAGTGCCCGACTGATGAGCAATTACATTTTGGTGAGTAAAAGACCAGCAGGAAAACAGCCAGCATTTCTTCACAGAGGACCTGTGACATAAGTGCATATGTGAGGGTGCTATCCTCTTCACATCTGAGGCAATACAAATTATTTTGGGTTATTTTACTATGAAATTTGTGCTGTGAAAATCCTTGAACTGGTCTGAAAAATGTGAATGAATTTCCATTTGGAAATTGTTTCCTTCAACAGTATGGCACCCTAAGCTCTTGCAGTTAACAGCAGAACGAAGTGGGGAGGAGATGTTCATTCAACAGAGAAAATAGCAGAAGTGTGAGAATTCTGGGTGGATTGGAGCAGGAAGTGAGTGGGGGAAAACATCCTCATATGCAAAACTAGAAGAGCATAGGGGATAAATTTTCGTTGCTGCAGGACAATATAACAAAACAAAAGCTAAATTCTGGCATGAGCTTGGGGTATGGTAAAGGACAATAGGATTGTAGATTTTTCTTTCTGTTGCTGTGGTTTCTTTCACCAAAATGGATTTGGCTTCATCTCAGAATGGGTCTGTTTTGTGGCTGTGAGAAGAGTTTGTTTGCCTGACTGCTATGTTTCCTGTTGCTCTCTTTCTGAGCCCATGTAAGCAGCCTCTGAAAGCCTGGCGTACTCTCAGAAATAACTTAAGACGAACATATTGACTAGGCACTTGAAAATCATTAACTGTTTGTCCTCTCCTTCATTCAGAGCAGAGTGAGGAGTGACTCCAAATGTCTTAGTTACACAAGACATGAATATCTTCATCCAGGCACTGGTGTTCTGTGTCAGACTGAAAATGTTACATTGCTATCCCTTGCGTCTGTGTCTGAGCATTCGTGCCTGTGCTTCCTACAGATGTTGTATTTGAAGTATTCATGTTAAAAATAGGGCAGAAATTTGAAAATTCTTACTGTGGTTAGCTACTACAAGTTGTGTATGTTGTGAGATGGGATAAGGTCTGGCAGTGAGAGGGAAAGCCAAGCTGTAACTCCAGAGCCTTACTGGAGAGGAGTGAGGTTGTGTGGTGTCTCTGGGGGCAGAGCTGCTGCTGCAGTGTCTGTATTGCTGCTGATGGTCAGCAAGGGAAATTAGCCTAGTCGGAGTTTGGAACATACCATTCAAGAAGCAATATAGAAGGAAGAAAGAAATCTTTTTCTCAAACAATCACCTGCTATAGTGCTATTGTTGAAAGACAATAAACACAGCCTTGACTGGATTTACTCTTCAGAGCTAAACCTTACTTTAAGTCCAGTATCTCTGTCAGTGATGCATTCTGTGATTTCCTGCAGGTAAAACAAACGTGAACAAAGCATTGTTATGTGAAGAGCTGCTGTTCCACTGTAGAGAACCATTTGATCTCTACCTATAGTGAAAATGATGCTTCAATTGACCTTGAAGACACAGATTTTATAATAGCTCAGGGAAAAGTAGCAGCCCATCAATAAAAAGTAGACAGCCTCTGTAACAAACTCTTAACAAATTTTGCCCAGCTTTATCAGTTTTATATTTTTATGTGAAGATTAGTACTAGAGTATTACCAGGTTTTAGTTAACTGGTATATTGCATAATTATGATTTTCCTTTCCCCTCCTCATGCCATATGTCTTTAGATGATAAAAGTACAGGATGTCATATAGAAATTTATTTCCAAAATTAAAATAGTGCTAAAGGAAAGGAAATAATCCTACTCAGAAGTAAGGATGTGCCAAAATTAAAGCTGGTTATGTGATGTTTATATAAAAAAGAATTCATGGGAAGATTTTCTTTCTGTGACTATGTGGTTTTTAGGGTTTGTTTGTGGGTTGTTTTTTTTTCCCCCAGTAGAGTCCAAACAGATGGTTGGTGCTTTTCTTCCTAGTGTCCCTGTTAGTGGGAAAGCAATACAAAAACTGAGTTTTAGTACTCTCCTAAGGCTGAAAAGAAAAAAAAAAAGTTTTCACTTAGTGAAAGCAAATAAAGTAACAGAACTGTCTCTGGAACAAAGTGCACCTTTGAACAGGATGGCCAGGTATTGAGGCAAATTAATTTGCTTTAATAAAATGTACTGGATCTGAGTGGTTTAGTCTGCTTCAGAGTCTATCTTCATGTGGTGGATTTTTGAGTTATACATGCTTATGAATAATTTTAGCTTTTATACAGAAAGATGTATTGGGTGGGGGAGGAAGAAAATATAAACTACTGAGTGGTATTTATGCCTCACACCTGGAATGAGTTAAGATCATCTGTGTCATGTCACATATAATATAATGCACAAGCTACAATGTGTCACTCCTGGTTTATTTTCTCCTGGTTTGAATGTATGCACTTGAGACCTCTGCTACAATTCTGACTGGTGAAAATTGGGCAGAATCTCTTTGTGATCATCACAACAATCTTTGTTTCACAGACACAAGCTCTGCTCTGTTAGGTGCTGTACTGAGGAACACAGAGGAAGCAAGGCAGGTCACTGTCTTGCAAGGTCAGGAAATGGGAAAGATATTCTATGAGGACACACATGCTCAATATGAAAAGCAAATACTCAGCTTCTTTGGATATCTGTTTAGGGAGAAAAGTAGAAGTGAGGAGTGGAAGAAGGAAGAAGGATCTTGTGTTTGGAGTCTTAAGAACATGGTTGGTTAGTCTTCTAAAAATTACAGTTGATAAACATATGTTGTTTCTCTGTATGTTAACATATCTCTTAAGGTACTTTAAAAGATGATAAAATATTTTATAAAGTGTTAATAGTAAACCCTATGAGGGGAGGAAGGACTGTCACCAGAAAAAAGTTTTACACAGGAACAAATCTAGACATTTTGGTTTGAGGCTGTGGGATTCTTGTATATCAAGCAAATGCAATTTCTGTTACGTGAAGAAGTGGAGACAACCCTAAAGTCTCGCTTCCTCTTTTCTGCAAGATTCTGAGTAGTTTAATATTTTGAGTGTTGCAAGCTCAGAATTTTATCTGCTGGGAGGAAGGGGAGTGCACAAAATTTGGATTTAGATGTACATTTTGCAAATTTAAATCCAGCTCACCAGTATTTAAATCTCCAGTTAAATGTGTGTCTTGTAAGCAGAATGGTTAAAATGTGATTTGCTATGCATGTGCTTGTGAACACAATCTTGGTGGGGTACCTCATTACATCATATCACTTCAGGTATCAATGTGCAAAGATTATCTGTAAGACTATCTGTCTTATTTGAGAAACAATTATCCTCTGACTCATTCAAAGCTTCTGCCATCAAACACAACAAAATAATCAAAACTGCAATGATTTTTTTTTTTTTTTTTAAGTTATAACAACCTGATCTCACTATGCTTATTTGTGCTAGAATCAGAGGCAGAAAGAAATGCATTAGTGGAAGAATGCTTTTCTCAATTATACAACTACTGTGAAGAAAGAGGTTGTAACTCCAGTTGATGGACCTGATGTGGGGGCTTCCAGGTGGAAGAAATTATCACTATCATGTTTCACTATTTCACATGTTTCACATCTGGAAATTTTGAGGAACTATCAGAGATGAGATATCAAAGATTTGTTGTAAGATATTTGTTTTTAATTCTGGAATTATATTGAACTGATACTTTTAGGGTACAGTAAGTGCATTACTTAAGTGCATTATTGGTTTTGGTATGTAAAAAAAGGGCATATTGTAAATCTGGAAGGCAAAAGAGGAAGGGACAGTAATGCAAAGTCTTGACTGATGCACACCATAAGAATCCTGGTAGGTTTGTGCTGTATGTAGATTAGGTTTTTATTTGTACCCTTGAATATGTGGGTTTTTTCCATTGTTTTCAGGTTTTATGGGGCAAAATCCTGATAATCCCATCATCTCAGGAATATTATGAAAGAAAATCTTATAATTAGTTAAAGGTATAATTGGAAGAATTAACCTAACTGAAGTAATGTAAAAGCAGACACTGTTGTGTCTCATGGAGTATCAAAAGAGATAATTCTGACCAAAAGAGCAGTGCAGACAGATTGTAATCAAGCAGGTGTTACTCAACACTTTTTGGGAACTGGCAAATCATCAAAAGTATAAATGGAGTTCATTCTAACAGAGAATTGGACTCAGACATTTCAGATGAGCAGGATCTGTTTAATGTGTCATCCTCATTCCCAGAAGGAAGCCGAAATAGAAGGAAATCAGATTTGACAAGCAGGACTTCCCTCTCATGAAGCTGTGCTGCCTGGGACTGATGACTGCATTGTCCTCCAGATGTTTTTCAGTATCTTCCAGAATAGTTTTTTCCATGATTTTACCTGGCACTGAAATGAGATTGACAAGCCTGTTACTTCCAGGGTCCTCCCTCTTGCCCTTCTGGAAAATCAGGACAGTGTCACCTAGCTTCCAGTCCACTGGGATTTCTCTGGATTCTGAAGACCACTCAAAAAAAATCAGGATCAATGACATCAGCCAGCTCCTTGAGGATTCTCAGATGAATCCCATCAGGCCCCATAGATTTTTAGGGATCCAGCTGAAGCAGCAGATCCTGCTCAACTTCAGGGTCAACTGGGAGTTGAACAGTCTCGAGATGAGCCCTGGTCTTCCATCTCATGGCACTGAAACCCCCTTGGTCCATCAACTCCAGCCAAGAGGCAAAGAATGCATTAAACACCTCTGCCTGGTCCCTGATCCTGTTTGTGAGGTGACCATCCTCATCCTGTAACAGGCCAATGTTATTTTTCACTGCCCATTGCCATTAATATATTTGACAAAAACCTTTTATTGTCCCCAGCAGTTCTGGTCAACTTCATCTCCAACTGAGCTTTGGCCCCACAAATTTTCTACCTACAGTGGCAAGAAGCATCTCTGTATTCTTCCCATGTCACCTGACCATGCTTCCACTGGGCATAAACCTTCCCTTTTTTCACCTTATTTTCAAGAGAGGGTCCCTGTTCAGCCGAAATATCCTTTTGCGTTGTCTGACTTCTGACATTTGGGAATTGCTCCTGTGCTCTTAGGAGGTGATGTTTAAAAAATGACCAGCATTGATGGACCCCAGCACCAGCAAAAACATTTTCCTAGAAGATTTCACTTACTAGTTCCCTGAGTAACCTGAAATCTGCTTTTCTCATGTCCATTTTGTTGCAAGTACTTACAAACTGCAGCCTACCAGGTGAGTGGTGAATTCTTTCTGTTCAGAAGTTGCTCAGTAAAGGAATGGATTTCTTTCCAATCTGTTAAGGAGATTAATTTATTCTTCATTAATCTGAAGGTGATTCACTCCTTTAATCAATGGAAATCTGATTGCTAAGCACTTACATTAAAAAATACCGAGTCTGAAGAGTTTCCTTCAACATTTTATCGTGCAAATGAATTGTATATTTAAATGAGCAGCAGTGCTTTGCTCATTATATCATGAAGTACAGCACTGAAAGATATTATCTGAAGGAAAATACTCCCTGAGCCTTTATTGATGATGCTGGTTACACTGTCATCAAATAGATATATGAGATTTTATCCCCATCTTAGAGATGGTGTAATTTTCCCAGTTGAGATATCTACTTGTTAAAACAGAGATAGTAAGTCTCAAATCCACATCTGTCCATCTGCCAAATTGTGCAGCAATCTGGTAGGCTAGAGCTGCACCTACCTGAAGTAATGGTGTTCTTTAATCATGTTTTATGGCTAGAGCAGCTTCTTAACTTTCCAGTATGTTCTCACAGCTTGTCTTTTAGTCATGTTTGTAACACATTTTTCAGGGATATTTTCAGCAGGGATCTGCACACAGGCAGCAAGCTACGAGCAAACGGCTGAGCACTTTCCAGAAACTGCATAACATATTTCAAGAGTATGCTCCGCTTGCTCTCAGAGAGGAAGCATCCACTGAGCTTCTGGAGACAGGTGAGACTAGAAACCCAAAGTCAGGAGAAGAGCATTCAGCCAGAATGATCAGTAATACATTATTTCCTAAAAGAGGGGGACAGATTAGTTTTGGTAATAAAATAAGATAGAAGACGTCATCAGTTTTGGCATTCCTCAGAATCTTGTGGTAGGACAAGCAATACCTTAGTGAGAGGGTTACCACTGTAATAAATATGTAAAATAGACATTATTTTGCAATAACCCTAAATGCCTTTTCCAAGTTCAGTTTGTTTTTTAATCCACTTAAACATAGGTAACTCTTTTTACAGTCTGCAGGCAACTCTTTAGGCTCTACTAGAGGACCAGAAAGCCTGGAATTTAGCCAAACAAAATAAAACACATGCTGTGAAATGCTATTTAACTGCAGAGAATAAAATGACTACTGCAGAGTAGGCTTAATAACACAATAATAATTTAACAGCAAAGCCACAGATTTCACGAGCCTCTTACAAACAGATCTTTTCTGGGTTTAATATTAAGAACAAAGGAAAATCAGATATTTTCTCTGGGGCTCAAAGGGGTTGTACATCAGGGCTAATGAAGTCACTTAGTACTTCTTTCTTAGCACAGAACTATGAGTATGGTAAGCATGTTCATACAAATGTGCTTTGTCCCCAGTCCTCCACCACATGGGGGATTCGGTCCTACAAACATGTTTGTCTGAACTGTATATGACTTGCATGTAAGCCCCTCACCTCATAAAAGCCTTATGTTACTTAATATAAGTGCAAACATATGAAGCAGCATAAGGGGAGAAGAGCTAATTAAAATAATTCTGGAAGAGGTTTCTAGGGTATTTTATCCATTGCTTAGAATTCCAATTAAAATTACATATCTTGTGAAGAGCTTCTGTTAATGTCTGTTGTAAGTTCTACAGCTTCTTTCAGAATGAAAGTTCTGATGTAAAACACATGCCTGCAGTGTAGTTATCAAGGATTCATAAAATGGTTGGGAGGAACCTTTAAGGGTCATCTAGTTCAACTCCCCTTCAATGACATCTTTAACAGAGCCCCATCCAATTTGCTTTGAATGTTTCCAGGGACTGGACATCCACCACCTCTCTGAGCAATCTGTTCCTATGTTTCACCAACCCCATTGTAAAAATCTTCTTCCTTATATTCAGTCTGAATCTATGCTCTTTAAATTTGAAACCATTACCTTTTGTCCTAGGACAATAGGCCCTGCTAAAATATTTGCCCCCATCTTTATTAGAAGCCCCCTGTAAGTAATGACAGGCCAGAGTCCGGTCTCCACTTTCTCCTCTCTAGGCTGAACAATCCCAACCCTTTTTCTTCA